TCGCAAGCATTACTATCGCATAAGCTCTTCTGGTCTCTGACCAGTTGAGCTAAAAATCATCTTCTCAAAAACCACTGGACCAGAAAAGATGAAACTTATGTGGAAGCTTTCTGAAGTAGTATAGATTCTAAATTGTTTAAATCATGGCCCCCAGGATTAAAATGGGCTACAATAAGGAATCAAATTTTACATTGAAATCTTTGAAAATCTCCTTAAGAACCACTAGGGACAGAAAAAATGAAACTTATGTGGATATCCTGATATACTGTAAAGGCACAAATTTTTGTGGGGATAAAATTTCCTTGATATGTCTTTTAAATAGTTTCATGGGCATTAAATCTTTTTTAAAGTAACCCTGTTCAATATATTGTAACTGTATACAGGGTTATTTTCACCCCGTATTATTTTCGCCCTTTTACCAAAATAATCAAAATCTATTCCCCCATATTTTTGCTTCTACAGTAGCAAAGATTCTAAATTGTCCACATTATGACCACAGGGGGCAAGATGGGGCCACAATAGGGATCGAGTCAAAGATTTACCATGAAATATGTAGGAATTACAGTAGATAAATAGGACATGAATATCCCAACAAGTGGATGTTAATAATGCAACATGGAAATTATATTGGTTTATGAAATTTGATGGGTATATCTTGAATATTTTCTTTAAAATGCATAAGTGCATAAGTAAATATAAATACACCTTAAATGGTTTCTTTAAAACTATAAGCAAAATGAATAGTAAAGAGAGGTGAGTTCAATGTCACAGGAAAGTTCAAGGTAAAAAAATATTAATACCATATTGATGAAAAAAAGATTCCATGAAGGTTTTTTTTTTAAAAACTGATCGAGATTTTAAAAAAAAATAAGTAGGGTCAAAGGAAAAGTATTAACCTGAATGACTTCTTTAAAACTGAACTTAACACTGATTTGAGAATAGTGCAGTCAAGGTCAGAGGAAAGGTAAAGGTAAAAAAAAAAATGTTGATACAGTTGCAAATTTACATCAGTATGTACCAGGATTTGAAGTTGGATTACACTACCTTCAATTGTTTCTTGAAAAACTGAACTAAACACTAATTTAAGAAAAGTGAGGCCAAGGTCAAAATATTGATTCAGTTCAGTAGTCATCATAAGTAACTATCAGCATAAGAAGTGTGATAAAAACATCTTGAATAGTTTCTTTGAATCTGAGCTTTGAAATTAGCTAATCACAAAGCACAACAGAAGGACAGACAGAGGGACAGCTAGAAGACAGACAGTAATTACAAACTCTGTATGCCCTGGTCATTTCATGACTGGGCATAAGATTCTTCTTCTTTAGAACCACTGGGACAGAAAAGATGCAACTTATGGGGAAGCATCCTGGGGGTATTTTAGATTCTAAATTAATAAAATCATGGCTCCAAGGGGTAAGATAGGGCCAAAAAGTAGGGGGGGGGGAGCTGTTGAAGAACAGCAGAACCAAAGTACACAGATAAGCATTGTACGTGGTACATATATAGGCCTCTTTTATTTATTCCTATTTTTATTTTTCTGTACAATTATTGTGTTTTTTCACTTTTTATCAAGAAAGTTTTGTCTATTTTTTTCTTGCCCCCATCCTTTTCCAAGATATCTTCATAAGTTCATATATCCCTCAGCGAGGCCCCATGGGCATGCGCAGTCAAAATTATGCATGAAGACATTTCCCGCTATAATTGCACTTTCATTTAAACTGTATAAATAAAAAAACTTACATATATTTAACTTACTGTATAGCTGTATAGAAATAATGTAAACAGATATTTCATATACCAATCTAATGGCCTGAAATGGCGGCAAGAACGAGTACTCACCGATGTTCAGGTTTTCAACAAAAAAACGTATAAAGTAAAAACAAATACAACAAAAATGAACTTACCTCAGTCTGATGTAGTCTTCTTCTGTATCTTTGGTGATGAGAGAACGCTTTGATATATCGTTTGGAAGGCTTTGCAAGAGCAATGCGAGAACACTGCTATTCAAGTCAAGCTCAAATATCAGTGTGGTGAATTTCTCGTCAATGGTCAGCTCACGTGATCATTCTGGTCGACAGAGCATGAAACCTGCGGGGAGATAGAGAGAGAAGGAGAGAGAGAAAGGGTAAATTGCTTGTAATAATTATAGCTGCAGATATGTAGAATTATGGTTATATATATTTGTCTTTGACCACAACGCTACAGATCCCGTAATGCAAAAAAGGTGCAGTTTACGGCGCAATATTTTTTGCGCCTTTCTGGGGAGAATTTCACCACTTTCTAGCATTGGTCAATCAACTACCTTTCACTCCCTAATTCTAGACACATTCTGTAGCCAATATGTATATTTCATCCACCTCCCAACCATTTATAGTTGTCTCTAGAGGCAATAAACTCGCTTGAAGTGAATTTTCTGCAATCTAACGAACAATTTTAATCAAGCGAGTTCATCACTTTTAGAGACGACTAAAAAGGGCTGGGGTATGGACAAAATGAAGAGATTAGTTAAGTAATGTGTCTAGAATTAGGGAGTGAAAGGTACTTAATTGAACGATGCTTGAAAGTGGAGAAATTCTCCCCAAAAGTGCGCAAAAAATATTGCGCCGTAAACTGCACCTTTTTTGCATTACGGGATCTGTAGCGTTATGGACAAAGACAAATACATATAAAACCATAATGCTACAGATCTGCAACTATAATAATTACTGTATTATATATTGCAAACTTTAAAAAGGGCAAATTTTAAATTGTTTGAAATATAATGAGAGGTTGGACATGTTAGAGACAAAGTTTTTAGAGAAACGCCTTTATCCATGGAGCTCGGAATTAAACTAAACTCATTAATCTAAAACACTTCTTACTTTTAAAAGATATAATGAGCTCAGCATCCAACTTCGAATGGAAAGGAAAAGGGACCGGGAACAAAGAATTCAAATATACAAAGTGAACATAAAGGAAAGGGTATTGTATTGTTTATTACCAAGAACCATACAGGTTTAACGTAAATACATAAATTAGTTTGTACAAAATACATGTATGTACAAGTACATGTATAAGCATTTCAATATCACTTGTTATTAAGTAAAGCAGGATCACAGAAAAAGAATCTTACAATTACAAACTATTCATTCTAAGTTCATGAAACTTACAAACTATTCATTCTAAGTTCATAAAACAGGCAAAGCATCGTACATGTGTAATTAAAATTTAAAAAAAGTAAAAGAATAGGGAGGAAGTATGCAAATATTTTATAAGTAGGCCTATATTGAATTTATCCCCAAACCAATTTCATGAGTCATTTGAAAACCACTTGGAAGCAAATCATAGAAGTGTACGGAGATGGCTGGCGGGAGGGGGTGTTAACTTCGTTAACGAGTATACTAATTTGTTAATTTTTTTTTATTTAAGCACGTGTACGGAGTTTAAAAAACGTCTATAGTTATTATTTTTGTCCTTATGGGTATTTTCTGTATGGACGGAGTGGTAGATCTGCAGCAGAGGTTCTTCTTAAACAGTCACTCTATCGCTCGTACAGAACGTAGGATTAGGACTGGAAACTTTTTTCACCACAAACTTCTTTCAGTATCGAAATTTTCTTCATACAATTGCTACATCATCCTTATATCACTTTAATTTAGCCAAAGGGGGGAGGGACACTCTTTCAATGAATATTTCAATAGTAAAAATTATGTATGTTTGAAACAAAGTTGCCCTGTTGCTCCGTGCCTGCACATACATATATAAATTATGAGTTTGTTATTCTTTCAATCTTATTCATAAGTATAAAGAGTATAATAAATTTATATTCAGACGAAAGAGATGAGGAGGAATATAATAGTATATTTTTCTGTCCCCTCTTTGCAAGTTATTTTTCTATAGAAAATATAAGAAAATATAATGTGTACATACAACAAAAATATGTCATCATGAAACATACCTAGTTTGACATGCAAGATAAATGTAATCACTATAAAAAAGAGAAAACTTGTCCAAAAATTAACCTAGTTTGCCCATACATGACTTCCCAAATGTTAGATGCAACATATCTGTGTTTACAAGTTGTTGACATACAACTTTATTTTGACATGCTAGATAAATATATTGACAAGCACTTTGTCTGCATGAACTTGCAACTTATCCATACTGACATTCATTTTATTTGTGTTGACATACAAGATAATGCATAATTGTGCATATACCGGTATATAACACAAACTTTAGGACCAGTAGATGTACAGTTTGTCTTCGAATATGAATTTTGTGTCAGAACATCACGTACTCTTCAGTATCAGATTCCTTTAATACAATAAAAAAAATCAAAGATTCGGGTGTATAGTTTTTGCCCTGTCTGTCCGTCTATCTGTCTGTCTTTTAACTTAGGCAATAACTTTTGAATGGGTAGGGCGCTATGGAGTTCATATTTCAAAGGTGTATTCCTTGTGTGGGAATAAAAAAGTGTAAATAATTTTAAATCTGTAGTCAAAAGAATGTATTTAGATAAGTTTTGTTTATTCTGGCTTGTTCAGTTTCGTTTTTTTAAATGATTTCATATACATATATGTCCCCCCCCCTCCCCCCCCCCATTTTTTAAAAGAGTACCTTGGCCCATAGACCTGGTTGTGGCCAACAATTATGACGACCACTCGAAAATAAAACGAATTAATATTTCATTGCTACGCATGCACTTCAGGAACATCTCTGATTAGAAAAGCACAGGCGAGCTAAAATTACACGAATCCAAGGTAAACTTCACCGCAGGCACGTAGCATTACCGGGGGGGGGGATACTTTTTGTTACAGTAAGGTCAAATAAGGGCAATGTAGTACTATATGTAGAAAATTTAGTACTGTAGAAGTTGAACCTGCCCCTAAATGTTTCCGTAAACTAGACATACCGTCCTGGTTGGTTGTGTTGCCTATGCGATAATCCTCATTTTATGTTCAGCAACAATTCTCATTCAATTTATTTTAACACTATAGTGTATATCTAAAAGTTTCACTATATGTAATGAATGGATGTGATAACAAAGCTATGGGCTATTATTTCAATATTCTGTGCATTACATTGTCTCTGAAGTGCATGCTTGGTAAGTTAAAATATAAAATTCTTTATAAGTGAATAAATGTGGAAGAGGATTTTGATGCTTCAATGAAAACCAGCGACATCATTTTAGTTGGACATATAATACCTAGATATGTATAAAAATAAATTGGAGTTGTTTGAGCAAGATGTTCGGATTTTTCTGTTTTTAACATTGCAGTTCATATATGTAACACAATATGGCTTTTAGTTTTCAATTTCGGGTAGGGGTGGGGGTGTCGGGTTTAAAGTGCGACGGGGTGGTGTTTACGTGTATTCAACATTTAACTTTATACAAGCACATAGAACTAAATGTATTCAATCAAAGTATGACAAATTTTCCCCACAGATGTACTGTTTTAGATTCTGTTTATATCTAACCGTAACAAGGAGCACACGGGTGGGTGTGATCGGTTGGCAGGGGATGCTCAATGTTATATGGCTTCCGATCCCAACTCATGTTTCAGAGGTCCGTATTTACACTGCTCCTGATTTGTATTTTTTGAATGGACTTTTGAGATTATTTCCATATTTCGTGTAGGTTTGGGGTTCACCGTGGGAGGCAATTTATCTGTCTCGGGGTATAATTCCACAGAAAATACTGAAGGTAAGAAATCCATCACCAGCGTCAATCACGATTAATTCTTTTAAAAAAATTCAAACGTTTATCAGCATCTGCACGCATGTAGGAACATTTAGGAGTATATAGTTTTTGCCCTATCCATTCGTCTGTCTGTTAAGCTGTTTGTCTTCTTATCCTTAAAAACTTTAATGCTGACAATAATTTTTGATTGGTTGAAGCTTTGGCTTTCATATATCACATATGTTTTCCTTGTGACAAGTCCCTTTCTTTGAGTACCACCAAATTTGACCTTTTGACCTTGGAGTTTGACCCACTTTTGCAAATATTTACCAAACTTTAACCTTTGCCATAACTTTCGGGCAGTTGGTGCTGGAGCTTTCAAACTTCACATAATGATATTGTATCCATTGTGACAAGGCCTTTCTGTAGTTATACATTATAAATATTTTTGACCTTTTAACCTTTGAGTTTACCCCCTTTAAAAAAAAATAAACCTTAGACTTTTAAAACGTTTGAACAGTTAGTGTATTCATTGTGACATGGTATTTTTATGGATATAAATAGCTGAAAGTGGGGGATATTAATTTTGGTCTGTCTGTCCGTCTGTAGTCCTGTCTGTCTGTCCGTCTGTAGTCCTGTCTGTCTGTCCGTCTGTAGTCCTGTCTGTCTGTGGCGCTTTCGTTTCCATGCGATTATCCCGAGAAGCATTGGGGCTTTTGCAATGAAATTTTACACGATAATGCCATATAACATACGAAAGATCCCTATTGATTTTGAGGTGAAAGGTCAAAGGTCATAGGCTTCGGAAGCAATTTGAAAGGGTGGCTAATTGAAAGTGGCGGGGAGTGGGTGGGTAAACCAACAAAAAAGGTAACTCCCAATTTTAATGCCTATATAATGTGTATCTTTGCAAAAAGAAGTGGGGGGAGGGGCTAAGCCCCCCCCAGCCCCCCGTTCCGACGCCTATGAAGGTTAAGATCATTAAAAAATCTGTCTAATTTACACTTTCGTTTCCGCGTGATATCTGTAGATGCGTTTGAGCGTTTCCAATCACTTAATTAATACCACAACTCTCTATGGCCTAAGGAGGACCCCTAGTTATTGATTTTGAGGCCAAAAGGTAGTTAAGTCATACATTTTGTGAGTGCGAATGTAGATGATATCTCAAGAAGCTTATGAGTTTTTTTATTCAATTAAATTTTATACCATAACTTCCTATGCCCCTCCCGCCCCTCTATAAGAGCCCCCTCCACACCCTCGACCCCCCCCCCCCCGGGTAAGTTTTTCCCTCAGCGGGGGACACAGATTCTCTGAATTAGCTTGTAACCTTTGAGTTAAGCTGTGTCACAGGGGACATCATGCAGTGTTTCACAAATAAATCTTGTTTTATACAAGGTTTGAGTTTGTTATCAACTTCCCCGGAATACACTTTTCCTTTCTGTGGAATTGTAAAACACTGGAAAATCTTATCCATCGGTGAAGGGAAATTATGGTTACAAATCTGGCGACCCCACAAAGCTATGTCCTATCGCTTAATCCAAGAAATATCGGTATATACAACTGGAGGTAAGATATAGAACATTTGAATCGATCCCTCAAAAAAAAAATAATAATAATAAAAGAGAGAGAGAGAGGGGGGGGAGAGAGAGAGAGAGAGAGAATTAAACTGCTGTTCAATTTTTGTTATATGTGTATATACAATATTTACTTTGTAATAATCTAAAAATAAATAAAATTCTTTTTCAGCATCCACAATTCAACAAATCCCACCAATGAATCCCACCACAAGCCCAGATATAATTCACTTTTATAAGGGTGATGTCATAGGATGGTAAGAAACTATTTAACCCGTAATCAAAGATTCAGGGTACATGTACATGTGTTTATAGTTTTTGCCCTGTCCATCTGTCTGTCTCCTTTATCTGTATGTTCATAACGTTTAAGTGGATGTGACTATGGCTTTCATATTGCACAACTGTATTTCTTGTGACAATACCTTTCTATTGGTACCACCAAATTTGACCTTGTGACCTCGACGTTTGACCCACTTTTACTAAAAATTTCCAAACTTTAACCATAGCCATAGCTTTTGAAAAGTTAGAGCTAGGGCTTTCATCCTCACATGTGTATCCACTGTGGCAGACCTTTTATCGGGTGAAAATATTTTACCTTGACCTTAGAGGTGGCCCACTTAAAAAAAAAAAACTTTAACCTTGGCCATAACTTTTGAACTGTCAAAGCTAGGGCTTTCATATTTCCCTGACCAGTGTATTCCTTGCGACAAGACATTCCTTTGGATACCAACAATGTTGACATCGGCTCAGAGTTTGACCCACTTAAAAAAATTTAAACTTGACCATAACTTTTGAACTGTAAGTGCTAGGGCTTTCATATATTTTTTTGTTGTTTATCTTGTCACCTCAAAATTGACTTTCAAGATATTTTTATGGTCAGGAAATACAACGAAAAGGAAATTATCCCATTTCGGAGCAGTCCGGTGATAGCCCGAGGGCATGGATTCTGGCGGCGGAGAGTGTCCCATGGCGATGGTGTTACAGAAAACTGGGGGCAGGGGGAATTCCTGTATGCCAGGCAGTATGCTATTTCCGCCAGTGTATCTGAAAGTAAATCTTGAGAAACTTTCTAGCATGCAGTCTTGCATAGTGTGCATGTTTTATTTTTTAGTCTTTGACGTTTCAGTTTATTCATTTTAAATTGTAAGATAATTGGAACTTTTGGTATGCTAACTGCCATGATTTTCGGATCTGACATAGAAAAAATAGCCTCTTTCAAAGGACAATGATTATACAATGTATAATAAAAATCAAAAATCACCTTAATTCAGTTTAAAAAAGATCATATCTCTAGATCTGTACATAAACAAGAGAGTTCCACCATAAAAGAAGGATATTATTAAAAAATGCAATTATCAGTGATCTCTGATTTTTATTTATCCGATCAAATATACTAGTATTAGGAACTTAAATGGAATGCCAATTTATATAGATGGAATTCTTTTAATTTCTTTTCTCCTTGTTACATGCAAAGGCCTCAGAATTTTTATTAATAATTGACCAGAGTCATACATGTTAACCTATTGTGATGAAAAAGAGGGAGATTCAGGCCTCAAAAGCGGTAGCATTGCGCGCGTGTTGTTTAATGCTTGAATTATCGATGTCTTTCATGTAATATACATGTATATTATAAGCCTTAAATGAAATCAGGTACCTACACTAATTAATCTTAAATATCAACAGCAAAGAAGAAGACAGAAACACCTTAAGTTTGACATAAATTGTACAAATTCAAATATTTTTCATGCTCATCATTTTGCTTGCATTGGCTGCTTTACTTAGCCTTTTGAAGAGTGATCTTTGCTGAAATAGCCTAGAAGCAATAATTCTGAATGTTCATTCAGTTTTTAAACAAAACAAATGATGGCATGGTTTAATGTAGATCTTAAACAAGTTCGTATCTTTCGTTATATAAATCAGATTTCCCGCGATGATCGAAAACGAAAGTAGATATGTGCCCAGATAGCATGACAATGTTGGGCCAACGTTGGTAAATGGTTGTATTGTTGGCTGGTGGTTGGCGTTGGGCATTTAACGTTGGTCCAACGTTGGGCCAATGCCAGTAGGGTGCTTATCTATTTTGATCACATGTAAGTTGGAAAGACAATGTTGGCCCAACAATGGCGCTATGTAATAAATGTGAGCTTTCCTGTATTTTTTAACGTTGGGAATAGCTGCATTGAACCAACGTTGGCCCAACGTTTTAAATTTGCCCTTATCCATAGTGACTAAGATCATTGGGTATACAACCATTGTCCAACGACGACCCTTCAAGTGCAGAATATGCTATAATTAAGTTTTCTGCATGTTGGGCTCACCACACTGGGCCAATGTTGGCCCAACCCATATGTAATATATCTAAATGATGGTGTTTAAAGAATAGTTAAAATATAACGTCATCGTCTCAAGCCACGGTCCGGAGTCCGCATATATAGCTCTCTCCTACCCGTGGCTGCTTGATCACAAAAAGTGTCGTAATCTTGAATATTTACGCCTCTCTATTGTGACGTCATATTCAGTCAGTGGCAAGTTTTGTTTCCATCGCAATCGAAATCAACAACTGACGTCAACAGTATACAATAAATATTTCCTATACTGCGATTGGATATTGAAAGGTCGCGATAAAGTTCATCATCCGACTATGCTTTACTCGCATTGGTCAATATTTTAATGAGCTACGGAGAATTCTCACCTCGTTCAACCACGGCCAGAATGGGAGAGGAGCGTACATTTTGGCCGTGGTTTGCGACGATGATATAACGTTGGCCCAACATTAGCCCTACTATGCAATAAGCGCTTTACTACAGTTTCTACACTGACGTTGGAATAATACATTTACCAACGTTGGCCCAACGTTGATATGAAAAAAAGAATGTAGAAAAATTTAGTATTAGCCCAGCCGGTAGGCCGATCCAGCCGGGGATCGGAGGGGGTATATGATCTAGGGATTTAAGCGTTTTTGAATTTACATTTACCCTAACATGCTAAAACTGCAGTTGGCAGAAAAAATCAAGAACATGAAATATTTTTTTTATTTTCTTTCTCTCTTTTTGTTCTTTTTCTTTATTTTGGTTTCATTTTTGTGTTTATTCTTAGTTTATGTTTATTTTTCACTACTTAATGTTCAATCAACAATTTACAGAATTAATTTTATAGAATCGTAGGAACATCGATTACATAATTGCGCTAAAGTGCTGATTTTAGGGGGGCATATTCTGAGATAAGAGCAAAATTCACTGTTTAAGAAATAAGGTCAACATCACCATTGCTTCTCACAGCAGGAGACTGGCCAGTTTCCTCGGTTACTGCGAAATCTGATATATCAGGATGGTCAGCACGTGTATAACCATTTCGCATTTGAGCAGCTTGGTACACACGTATATATTTGTGAGAACAAAGAAATTTGGATATACTGCTTCGCTAGACAATACGCTGTATATGTAAGTATAATTATTATATATTTTATAATTTGCTTTGATTTGACACCAAACTTTACTGTTCAATGTTTGTTATCTGCCTTTTTATATACAGACATCGTACACACATGCACCTTATAATGTTTAAGTTCAAACACAAAAGAACGTTGAAAGTTTTGTCTTAAAACTTTTAAGTTATATACACAATTAATGTGTTAGCATTTACTTTTAGGTAAAGAATTTATGCACAACTGGAAGAGAAAATGTTTAAGTCCACTGTGAGAGGACTCTTATCCTACCTTTTTGCCAATGACCTTGCCTTTCGGATCAATTGGAATCAAGGATTATAGTAACCAGTAAGAATTATTTTTATTTACTTTATTCTAAATGGGTGAAAGAATCCCCCATTATTTAATTATTTAGTTGTAAATTTAAATGTAGTTGTAATTTTGCCCCATGTAATTTTAAAAGCTGGAAATATTGTTTTTCACCTCTCATGATCAAAATGAACAGTAGACCACAAACTTAAGAACTTGAAGCCTATAAAATTAAGTATGTCATAACTATATGTCTACTAATTTGTTACTTTTAAGGACTGTCCGAAAAAAAAAAAAAAACAAGCTAATAGCGGCAGCGACAGACAGCGAAATTTGCGCCATTGTTAAAGATTGATTTCTGCCAGTGATCGGGAAGGGGGACGGAAAATAAGGGAAGAGAGGAAGAGGACAGATGAAGAGAAGAAGAAAGAGAATGAAAAAGGAGGAGAAAGTGCAAAAGACACCGAGTGAATGAAAGAAAACGAATGAAAACTTTGTTTAAATTAATAATATGAAGGATTGCTTGACATTTAATTGTAATTATAATAGTTTTAAAAATACAAAAACATCAACGATTAAAATCAATAGCCAAAACATGGATTTTTTAATTTTCTTATCAGAATATTCCTGAAAAAATCATGTTATTCAAGAAAGAATATTTTGAATGTCAAATCGAAATTTACATAAAATGGAGTTTACTAGAATATACATGTATTTTACTCTGATTTTCCGCAAATGACATTTTTTCATTCTTTGTAAATCAAATGTTAGTCATGCATTGGGTAATCAATTTAATTTTTCCACCGTGTTGGACCAATGTAGGCCCTACACTTTCCTCGCCATTTATTGTTGGCCCAATGTTGGCCCTACACTTACTCCGTAAGCTGTCTATTGTTGGCCAAATGTTGGCCTCTATTCTTACGTAGCTATTTATTGTAGGCCCAACGTTGGCCCTTCACTTACAATGCTATAAAGTATGTTGGCATAATGTTGGTATTACGATAATATATAAACTTTACATTACTGGTGTTGGCCCAACATTGGCCCTTCTATAACATGCCATGTACTAAGTTGGTCTAATGTTGGCCCTACGATTACAAAAATACATTAGAACGTTGGCCCAACATTACCCCAACATGTTGGGCCAACAAAGGGCCACAGTGCACTTAGACATTGCGCCAACGTTGGCTGCCAACGTCGGCCCAACAAAGTGTGTTACATTGGGCCAACATTGTCCCAACGTAGTCATGCTATCTGGGTGCCACATGGCTTGGTCAATCGAGTGATATCTTTTGACTTTATTGATAAAGTTGTGAGCTTCTGTGCTTTTAAAGACGATGTCAAATGTTTTCATCTAATTCTTAAAGGTTGTATCTCCTTTTTCATGGCAGGGATGTTGATTAATTTATCGTAACCAATGTAATCACTGGTAGTCTTATGTTGTTGTCGTTGTCAAATCCGTGCTTGAAATCTATGTACAAAAAAGCGTTTGTGTGATTCCGAGTCAAATCACGCGATATCTAGCGAGATTTTATGAGAGTGGCTTCAAAAATGGATACCCAAGCGAACCAAAAATACTTTAGACGCAGCTTTTGTAGAAAAGCGGTAGATTTCTGAATTAAATCGGTAGGCGGGAGATGGAGTGAAAAAGCGGTAGACTCCCGCCTAAATCGGGAGAGTTAACATGTATGCCAGAGTGATACATAAGAGCGCTGAATATAACCCCACTAAATAGATATAAATATACCAGTACTGGTTTATATAATATTATATACATGTATACCGGTATATGCATTTTTATATAACGGCTTATTGAGAAATTCTAAAGCCCTCTTATGTGTTTCTTTATTTTTGATAAATTCTATAAAAAATTATTTTTTAGATACCCCTCCCTATTTTGAGAAGGACGGCATTCCAGCTTCCACCTTCACAGTGACCATTGGTGACGCCTCTGACCCATACACTCAGGTCATGACCTTACCAGTCAAAGACAGGGAGGAGACCTTGACCTTGCGGATATCCATGTCAACAAAGTCTTTATATTTTTCTTTGAATGAGACATCATGTAAGGATCCAACTTCTTTCAGTAACCTTTTTTTATTCAAACATACTACATTACCCTTAGTAGACTATACTGCAACAAGAAGTGGGCGGGCACACCAGTCTTTCAATGAACAATTTCTATGGTAAAAGGTTATGTCTGAAAAAAGGAGCAACCCCACCCCCCCATTCAGTAGATGAAAACTATTGCTCCTTGCATATAGAACTGTTAGTTAAAATGGCATGGGATACAAGAAACAAGAGGCCCAGGGGCCACAGCGCTCACCTGAGCACATCGGGCTTGAATTTACTCCCCCCCCCCTCCAGGCGGTCATCATTTGGACAAACTAGAATATAAACTACCTGAGGATGATTCCATATAAATATCACTAATCATAGCTTTGAAGTACTTGAAAAGAAGATTTTAAAAGGTTTCCCTTTATATCCTTATGTAAAACTTGGGTCGGCCATTTTGGCCCCACCCTAGCCCCGGGGGTCATGATTTGAACAAACTTGAATCTGCACTACCTGAGGATGATTCCACATGAGTTTCATCTTTCCTGGCCCAGTGGTTCTGGAGAAGAAGATTTTTAAAGATTTTTCCTATACATTCCTATGTAAAACTTGGGTCGGCCATTTTGGCCCCACCCTTGCCCCGGGGGTCATGATTTGAACAAACTTGAATCTACACTACCTGAGGATGATTCCACATGAGTTTCATCTTTCCTGGCCCAGTGGTTCTGGAGAAGAAGATTTTTAAAGATTTTTCCTATACATTCCTATGAAAAACTTGGGTCGGCCATTTTGGCCCCACCCTTGCCCCGGGGGTCATGATTTGAACAAACTTGAATCTGCACTACCTGAGGATGATTCCACATGAGTTTCATCTTTCCTGGCCCAGTAGTTCTGGAGAAGAAGATTTTTAAAGATTTTTCCTATATATTCCTATGAAAAACTTGGGTCGGCCATTTTGGCCCCATCCTACCCCCAGGGGTCATGATTTGAACAAACTTGAATCTGCACTACCTGAGGATGATTCCACATGAGTTTCATCTTTCCTGGCCAAGTGGTTCTGGAGAAGAAGATTTTTAAAGATTTTTCCTATATATTCCTATGTAAAACTTGGGTCGGCCATTTTGGCCCCACCCTTGCCCCGGGGGTCATGATTTGAACAAACTTGAATCTACACAACCTGAGGATGATTCCACATGAGTTTCATCTTTCCTGGCCCAGTGGTTCTGGAGAAGAAGATTTTTAAAGATTTTTCCTATATATTCCTATGTAAAACTTGGGTCGGCCATTTTGGCCCCACCCTTGCCCCGGGGGTCATGATTTGAACAAACTTGAATCTACACTACCTGAGGATGATTCCACATGAGTTTCATCTTTCCTGGCCCATCGGTTCTGGAGAAGAAGATTTTTTAAAAATGCCATAAATTTTTAACAAATTCATGATTATCTCCCCTTGGAAAAGGGCGTGGCCCTTCATTTGAACAAACTTGAATCCCCTTCACCCAAGGATGCTTTGTGCCAAGTTTGGTTGAAATTGGCCCAGTGGTTCTTGAGAAGAAGTCGAAAATGTTAAAAGTTTACAGACAGACGGACAGACAGACGGACAGCTGGACAGACGGACGGACAGACAGACGGACGCCGGACAAAATGTGATCAGAAAAGCTCACTTGAGCCTTCGGCTCAGGTGAGCTAAAAGCATATTTATTTACGGTAATGTATACTCATAATTTTTATTGTCAGATACCATCTACACCTTGCAGTGGCTAAAAGTTGGACAGTACTCCACAGAAATTCAAGTCACTGATTATTGTGGGAAGTCAGCTTCAGCTCAAATTTTTATCTCAGTTGTGAGTAGAATGTGGATAAAAATTCGCTTAGTAAACGTAACAGTGTCTTGTTCATTTGGTTTGATTTGTGAACAAGAGGCCTGTATAAGTAATCTGAGTAGTATAGATGTACAACCATTGTTTAAAAAAAATCCCTGACAAATTACATCCTAAGAGGAGATGTTCAATGATAAGTACATTTCTCTTTTGGAAAAAAAGTGAGGGGTTCCCCCTTAATTTAGTGAGTACCAGCTGTGACAAACATTAAAAAAAAACATTTCAAATTATCTCCGATGAAATATGAATTTGTTAATGATTAAAAACTCTTGAATATGCTAAATTAACTACCGGTAGACAGAACGTTTTGTCTCTTGTTACTGTATTTCAGGTTGAAAGTAACCCTACAACTACACAGGAAATGTTTCTTGGACGACCAGGTATTTCTTTCTCTAAATCTTTTATTAAATCCTTAGATATTTAGATACTAGTATATCTCAGGCTCAAACTCAGTTATACAAAACTGTCAATGCAGCTAAAAGTGATATTCAAACATTCTGAATTCCAGCTAAATGCATATATATGGTTTAAACTTTTTATAATAGGCATTTTCCCCCAACAATTTTTTGAGATAAATGTAAACAAGCACCATTATTAGATCTGCTAATCCTTCATATTTTTCTACATTTCAGCGATAGTATGGACGGTGGGCTTACCAATGTCTCTCGGTTTGTCTGTGATGTGCTTGGGAAGCTTGTTTGTGTATTCCTGCATTCAGTGGAAAAAAGGGTCGACTTTTCCAGTCACTGAATTAAAGTAACCTTCAATGAACAGCACACCATCAATTCTACATTAACAATTATTGAATCCTGAACATCCAAGAAGAATATGGACTGGATCATTTATTCTTTAAAAATACTGTAAAAGTTTAGTATCTCATTGAACAATATATTGAATGCCAAGAATATGTTGAAGTCATTTGAAAGTTTTCATCACTTTTCTCTATATGTATTGAAGCCTCAATATCTAGCACCCTTGGATATTTTGAATTAGTTTCAGACTTAATTCATAATAATGAGGTTTGGCTTTATGTATTTATCATTCCCTTTGTAAAGGTTGAAAATGGGAAGAAATGTGCAAAATTTTGATTTTCAATTTCTTGTTTAAATAAAATGGATCAAATAGTTTTTTGGTGTTAAAAATCATTGTTTATTCAAATCAAACATTTGTATAAAAAAAAATCACAAAAATAGTCTCCAGTATAAATCAGATCACAGTTAAAATACTAGATTGTTTCAAAGAAGAAGACACAAGTCACCTGCAATAGCAACATTTGGACATGAATGTTTTCTATTAAACTTCATCTGTCAAATAGAATTGGAAAAGTCAAAGTTCATATGAAACTTGGTTCCATCCTAACATTGAAGAGAAGCTCAAAGATTACAAGGTATAAACACCAAAAATGATGATCTTGTCACAGTTTAACATGCCTTCCTCGAGTCCCCATCGTCTGCTTCAGAGTGCACCACCTTCAGATGTCCACTAAAGTCAATTTAAGTGACAAAATCAGTTAGACTTTTCTCTATGAAAAGATTTTATTAGGATGCTTAATACCAAACACTAATTTTTAATGCTCCAGAGCTGATGTGCCTCGCAATATGTGTGAAATATCAGACTCCGGAATGTGACCAACACCGTGCAAAATGATCCCTGAGAATCACACTCTGCTTTGCAGGTGACAAATACATGAGCAATGTACTTGATTTGCATTGACAACCTTGAATACTGCTGGATAATGACTTGGGCACACTATTAGAATATCAACGCATACTTTGAGAAGTCCTGTGCTTTTCCAAACACTCAACAATGGCTTGTCTGCAAAACAAGAAAAGTTTCCTTTTATGCTCTAAATATTACAAACAATTATACAGTGTATCATTTCATTTAAATAAAACTGCTTGAAATAATTTGTGAAATTTGGTAGTTTCAAATGTATAAAGCAATTGTTTAACATACTTTGTTTTTTTCTTCAAACACAGTACATGTACTAACCAGAAGTCTCTGTCGAGACTGTAGCTCTACTGGTTTGTACTTATCAAAAACCATTGCACTATTTTATGTATCTTGGTGTAGTCTACTTGTGTGCCAACTTATTTTGAAATCAAACTAAAACTGTAAAAGGAGTAGCGTTTTAAAGGAATTTCACAGAAAATTCTATTTTTAGTAACTATGGTAACACCGTTCATCGAAACCAAAACCCGATGCACTATTCTATGTATCTTAGTGTAGTCTACTTGTGTGATAAGTTATATTGAAATCGGACCAAAACTGTAGAAGGAGTAGTGTTTTAAAGGAATTTCACAGAGAATTCTATTTTTAGTAACCATGGCAACATTGTTCACCAAAATCAAAAACCGATGCACTATTCTATGTATCTTAGTGTAGTCTACTTGTGTGCCAAGTTATATTGAAATCAGACCAAAATTGTAGAAGGAGTAGCGTTTTAAAGGAATTTCACAGAGAATTCTATTTTTAGTAACCATGGCAACACCGTTCATCGAAATCAAAAACCGATGCACTATTCTATGTATCTTAGTGTAGTCTACTTGTGTGCCAAGTTATATTGAAATCAGATCAAAACTGTAGAAGGAGTAGCATTTTAAAGGAACTTCACAGAAAATTCTATTTTTAGTAACCATGGCAACACCATTCATCGAAATCAAAAACCGATGCACTATTCTATGTATCTTAGTGTAGTCTACTTGTGTGCCAAGTAATATTGAAATCAGACGAAAATTGTAGGAGGAGTAGCGTTTTTAAAAATTGTTTACAGACAGACAGACAGACAGACGGACGGACGCCGGACGCATTACTATCGCATAAGCTCTTCTGGTCTCTGACCAGTAGAGCTAAAAATCAACTTTCATTGTTGAGTTTCAATTTTTTTCTTGCTTCAAACTCTGAAATTTTTTCAAATAAAACAACTGACCTGAATAAATGCCTACTGCTGACTACTGATGACACATGACCTCCAGGAATGACCTTCAACTTTGAACCTGGCCACAAGTCCTGGTGGGTCATCACATTATCACGGGGTATATAAGCATCAGATTCCGCCACAACTGATAAAATAACAGACGTGTCCACTGGAGCGGAATAATTACCCAGGTGTGTAAACTCTTCCATCACTTCCCACATAAAGTCCAGAATTTCTGCATCAAAGGACTTCAACTGTTTTGTAGTGATCACATTGGTCTGAGATATGTTAGGAGAAATGGGAGAAAATGATTTAGCTTTCCAGTCATCCACAGTCCTTAGCTGACGTATAGCGGTCCCTATACTGTCCACCTGTGACCCTGCCTCCTTGATTCGCAGTAGGGCTTTCTCTACATCCTTATGGTAATCTTCTACAGAACAGTCTTTAGATGAAAATCGGCTAATTCCTCTCTACAGCAAGAAATAAAGAGCTAAAGCTGAATTCATGCAGAAAACAATTATTTCATTTCTTATTAGTTATTTGTCTACACAATTCACATTTCTTATTTAGATATTTAAAGCAATTTGTAATCACTCTGAAAAACAAGAGGCCCATGGGCCACATCGCTTACCTGAGTAACTTTGGTGATGCAATTCTTTACCAGATTTCCTCCCTTGAATACCTATTGTGGCCTCGCTGTACCCCCCCCCCCCCCCATGTCACAATTTTAACAATTTAGAATCCACACTACCCCAGGATGCTTCCACAGAACTTTCGGCTTTTCTGGCCCAGCGGTTCTTAAGAAGAAGATTTTAAAAGTTTTTTTTCTATATACGAGGGTTGACCCAAAAGTTCGTGGAATTTCTTCAAATTTTATTTATTTATAAGTGAAATTGATTGAAAATTACAAATGAGATTATAGACACTTGTTGAATATTTAAAATATAAAAATATTTTAAATATTTGTGATACTTACTCTATAGCAGTTGCCATAGAAATGGATGTTTGGAAATGTGGGGGAGACATCAACATGTTTATTATCAATTTAATTCTTAATTCTTGAAATGAGAATAAAACCATCCTATGCGTTATAGAAAACGAAAAATATGTCATTATTACGATTGCTTGATTTTTATAAACCTTTTTGTGAGATTTCTACTGATTTTACTGGATATTTAGTTCATTAGTTGAAGATTTATTGTTCATCTTTAGGTTGTTAGCCAACGTCAAATTTTGGTCAAGTCATAAGTCTTATGAAAATCCCGGAATCACTGTATCTTAAACGCATATATTATTGACATAGGATTGGGAAAAATGCATTTACTACTCAGTTCCAATGTCGTAAGGAATTTAAGAAAAATGGAATTTCCATGGACAATGATTAAAGGTGTGGCCGCCTTTTGGAAGCTCTGTTTTAAGTGTTTATCCCCCTAGACAAATTAAAAGCGTTAATGGATGTTGACGGCTGATGTATTGTTCTTGAAATTGCTACTGAAATTGGAACATCATACCGTAAGATGGGGAGTATTTTGAAATATGAGTGAAAAATAAAGATAATTTGGTATGAGAGGATACCCAGGCTTTTCTTGAGAAAAAAAATGGACAAAAGGGCAGCATTTTGTAATATTATACTTCATGTAAAATTAGTAGAATCTGATTGGTTGAGAAACATTTGTTAAAAAACACTACTACCCGTTGAATAATGAAGCCACGCCCTCCAGCGTAGCAACAGTCAACACTGCTTGACGACGGGTGGTATTCCAAAAAATAGCGACTGCGCAGAATTTATGCGCGCACGGTTCACTGTTATATGTATTTGTATAAAACATTCAGTATAATATAATAAATATTGCATGTAGTTGAGTGTAACATTGAAAATTTTTCACCCCTCGAAAACCTTGTCAACCTCGGCTGCACCTCGGTTGACAATGGTTTTCTTGGGGTGAAAAATTTCAATGTTACACTCAACTACATGCAATATTTATATAGAATTACGTATTCTAATTGGACAGTAGGGTGAGATGCTTCTAAAACCTGACGTGACATTCCTAACTTGACGTTATATCGAAGTCTCCCCCGGGTTTCACAACTATCCATTTTCAGAAAGCTTGTGTGACCTTATTGGTAATTGGAACAGGGTGAAATTTTTCAGTATTGTTGCAGTATGACTCTATATTATAAATATGCCTATTGTTTGTTTTCATCAAATCACGATAAAATTTTAGAAAGAAATTCCATGAACTTTTGGATCAACCCTCATATTTCTATGTTAAACTGTTTCCCTTTGTGGCCCCGCCCAACCCCCGGGGGTCATGATCTTAACAATTTAGAATCAACACTATCCAAGGATGCTCCCACATAAGTTTCAGCATTTGTAACCCAGTGGTTCTTCAGAAGAAGATTTTAAAAGTTTTTTCCTATAAATTCCTATGTAAAACTTTGATTCTCTATTGTGGCTCCGCCCAACCCCCAGGGGTCATGATTTTAACAATTTAGAATCTACACTACCCCAGGATGCTTCTTTCTAAGTTTCAGCTTTTCTGGCCAAGTGGTTCTTGAGAAGAAGATTTTAAGTTTTTTCCTACATATTTCTATGTAAAACTTTGATTCCTTATTGTGGCCCTGCCCAACTCCCTGGGGTAATGATTTTAACAATTTATAATCTACATCACCTCAGAATGCTTCCACATAAGTTTCAGCTTTTCTGGCCCAGTTGTTCTTGAGAAGATTTAGTTTAATATATATTTTATTCACAGAAATGGATTGAACAGCAGGCATAAATGCCTATGATCGTTCTCTCTCTTCTTGAGAAGATTTTTTAATGACTCCATCCTATTTTTGTCTTTTCTTGATTATCTCCCCTAGTGATGGGTCTTGGCCCTTCATTTTAACAATTTAAACTCCCCTTCACCTATGGATGCTTTGTACCAAGTTTGGTTAAAAGTGGCCCAGTGGTTCTTGAGAAGAAGTCAAAAATGTGAAAAGTTAACAGACGGACAGACGACGGACAAAATGTGATCAGAAAAGCTCACTTGAGCCTTCGGCTCAGGTGAGCTAATAAAGGCCCTAACATTGACAAACCTCAGGAGAGACTAGCATCTTTCTGATTTCATGTTCATATTCTTTGTCCTCATAATAGCTATTTTTCAAAACATCCCATCTTACAGCTTTAGAGAGAATGCCCTGAAAGGAACAAA